AGGCTCTCAACATCTGTCACCCAGAGGCTCCAACAAGGTCCCTGTCTCCACTCTCCACAATCACCTTCCAATTTGCTGTGAGGCAGTGCTTCCCAAAGCACAAAGCTGATCACGTCACTCCCCTGCTCACAGTCCTTCCATGGACCCCTAGGGTCCAAAGGAAGCCCAAGTCTTTAGCAAGGCATTCAAGGCCACTTGTAGTGGGGATCCTGCCTTCCTGTCCAGTCTCTTCTCTCAGCCACCCTCCCCTGGCATCACGTATCCAGACAGACTGACCATTAGGTACCTGCTGTTTTCTGAATTAACACTCTTTCCTTTTGGCATGTACTTCCCTCCTGGGAAGCTCTCCTCTCCCCTCACTTTTTTTTTTTAACCATTTTACCAGTTGCTAAGTGTACAGTTCAGAGGCATTAAGTACTCTTCTCCTCCTCCTCCTCTCTCTTTCTCTTTTTTTAATGGAGGTTCTGGGGATTGAACCCAGGACCTTGCACATGGGCTGTACCACTGAGCTATACCCTCCACCCGCCTCCTCCCCTTCTCTAAACCAATAGGAAATTACCCGCTGTAACTGGATTCTGCTCTCTAAAGCCTCCCCTTGTCCCTACAGGCAGAACTGCCCCCTCCGCTGTGCTCCCAGCTCACTACGCGCACACCTTGATTACTGCATTTGTCTGCATTTTTATCACTTGTGAAATACTCCTTCCCTAGGTGGTGGTCTGTTAGGGACAAGAACTGGGCCTTTTTCTCCTTTGAATTCTTCAGCACTTGACAGTGTGCCTAGAACAGGGCAGACAATTAACATCTGTGAGTTGAATGATGAATTAAGCCACCTCTGTCTGCCCATCCTTCGCTCCACAGGATCGTCTCAGGAGCCGGCTGGAAGCCCTGAGTGTGGAGAGAGATGAGATTGAAGCCATGAAGAGTCGGGAAGACCAGAAGCTCCAAATGCTCCTGGTAAAGGCCATGTCCTTGGCCACCTTCTCCTTTCAGGGTTTTCTTTTCTATTTCTTTATTTTCAACTGTTCAGTTTCTATTGTTTTCCAAATATGCTTTTTCAGTTCTTTTTTTTCTCTTTCAAAATTAATTTTATTTTCTATTTTCCCATTGTCTTTAATTAAACCTTTTAAATGTATTTCTTTGTGTGTGTGGGGGGGTAATTATTAAAACAAATAACTACTTATTTTAACGGAAGTACTGAGGATTGAACCCAGGACCTTGTGCATGCTAAGCATGTGCTCTACCACTGAGCTCTACCCTTCCTCCAGTAAGTATATTTCTAATATCTGAAGTTTATGTGATGTTTAAATTCTTCTGACCCTTCATTCCAGTAGCTTATTTTCTTGGGAGCTTTCCTTGTGGTTCCCACATTTGGGGAGCCCACATTTGGAATGGCTCAAATCAGCACTTTTCTTTGTTCATTCCAAGGGGGCAGAGTGGACAAGACACACAGGTAGGAGGTTCCTGTGATCAGCCAGTACCTGGAAGAGGCATTGGCTTCTTGGTTTGATCACTCCTCTGGACACTTCTGATTTACTTCTGATACTGAAGTTCCCAAAATTTCCCATCAGCTCTGTCTGGCATTTTAAGGATTCTTGTAACTTTGGAGAATTTTTTGTTGTCTGCATTAAATGACTTCAGGGGACTAGATATAATTTTGTTCTCAAACATCAAATAACCACCTAGCATCCATGAGTGAAATAGTTCACTGTGACATCTGTGGCAGAACAGTGTCTCGTAAGAAATCCTGATTTTCTTGGTTTAGAAGACCACCCCCCAATATCATATGATAACATTATTTGTAAGTGTAATTATTTTCTTAATACTTGAAAGTGTTTTTATGTTTTGCACAAATTTCCGAAGTGATAATCCTCCACTTAAATAAATAACACATGTGCATGGCCAGAATTACTGTTTTTTCTTTTTTTTAAGGGTGCATTTTCTCTCCCACCCCAGCTTTATTAAGATATAATTGAAGAATTAAAAATGCATATGCTTAAGGTGTGGAACAAGATGTTTTGACATATGTGTGTGTGTGTGTGTGTGTGTGTGTGTGTATACTTATAAAATTTAGGTAGTTCGAGTAGAATTAGGTGAGTTTAGGTCTTTTGTCTCCAGTCTCTTTTTAGCACTTCTTTGACTCTGTAAAAGTAATCTTAGTTTGGATTTTCTATTTTATCCAGTAGCTATTCAAAATGATCTTAAGTTCACTTTTCACATGGTGAGGTAGTCCTGGTTGATTTTACATTAACTGAAGGTTTTTACTGTCATTTCCCAGGGCTGAGAAAATATGACCTGTAGGATTCTGCTGTCAGATTTCATAAAGTTAATGATACCATTTTTAGGTCTATCATCTTGCAATCTTAAATAATATTCTCTGGAACATGAAAATTGTGTCCATCCTCTGTGCTCAAAAATGTTTCTCATTAGTCTACCTGACTAACTAGTCAACCTTTAGAATAAAGTTACTGAGTACTCTTTACATTACTGTTTTTAAAATTCACTATATTGAAACAAAAACTGTTCACCCACTTCTCCCAGTTGGAAATCCCCATTTAGGGATTTTTCTTAACAGGCTCTGGGGGAGCTTGTTGTCTGCTATTTGTGCCAGGCTGAGAACAGGCAGACGGTTCCTCCTCACCCCCTGCCTGTGCAGAAGGGCACGTGGGGTCAAGGGTGTGGAATCCTAGAACATCAGGGCTGGGAGTGGTTCTGCCATCTTCTAATCCAACATCCATCTTGCCAGCCATTATGTTTCTGAGCAGAAAATTGATGTCCAGAAAAGTGATGCTCCCAAAGCTACACAGCAAAGCCCAAGTTCATGATGAAATGGCTAGAACCTGGGTCTCTTGACCTTTAGTCCATTGCTCTTCCCATTACAGTCTGTCTGCCTGAAAGCCTTGACTTCAAATAGGAAGCATGCGGCCAGAAAATGTATATTAGTGTCTGCGATCTATACTGACCGCCAGGTTGACCCTGAGGACTGTAGGCTAATGGTGTGCTTATGCCTGGTTCCCTCCCATCGCTTTCTTTATGCTACAAAGTTATGCAGGGGAAATCCACAAGGTACCAGGGGGAATTTCTGGTACCTTGACCAAGGAAACAGAGTTTTGGGACAAGATCTCTCCAGCATCCATCACCTCCCAACAAAATATGCCCCATAGATGGTTACCTCAGTGGCTAAGACCAATGCCACACCATTCTCTTCTGATAAGTTGTGCTCTAATCGCAGCTTCCTTTTGCTCCAATTGCTCTCTGAGGAATCATCTCCACCCGACTCTAGGGATGATATGGGAGGGTTAGGATGATATTGTAGATGTGAAAGAATGTTTGAGAAGTTCAGCGTAGCTTTGAGAGTATAATGTGCATTATTAATAGAATCTCTAGGTAAGACAAGAACATTGCCCTCATCATTGCTAAGACTGTCCAGACACCTATACTTTTACTACGGCATTTTTGGGAGAATGAATCTTGGGACTAGTTACTCCCTATCCCTTTTAATCAATAGCAAGTATATAGATGATCCTCCTGGAACCCAGCTCTGTGAGCTTCTCCCTGACCACATCTGTCTCTCTGCCCTTTGCAGACTCAGATTGAAAGCAAGAAGCAGCAGGTGGAAGCAGCTTTTGAGAGGTTGCAGCAGGAGCTGGGGGAACAGCAGCATCTCTTGCTGGCCAGGCTGACGGAGCTGGAGCGGCAGATCTGGAAGGAGAGGGACAAGTATATCTCAAAGCTCTCTGAGGAAGTCACCCGGCTTGGAGCCCAGGTCAAGGAGCTGGAGGAGAAGTGTCAGCAGCCAGCAAGTGAGCTTCTACAAGTGAGAGACACCCCACCACCCCATGGGATAGGAGAGGGATTCCACAGCAAGGGGACACCATGCTGGGGGCTGGAAGATGTTGAGAGAGACCGGAAGGGGAAGCGGAGATTATTTCTAATGGGAGGGACTAATGGTTATTGGGTTCCTTTGGCCCAGAGAGGTTATGGAGATGCAGTCCCAGAAAGCTGGATGACTTCTTGCCCACGTCATGCACTACGGTCATGCCAAGGGCTTTGGAATCAGATGATCTTGGGCCTGAGTATTGGCTCTTCCAGTTGTGTGACCCTGGAAGATCTCATAACCTCTCTAAACATGGGGCTAATAATAGCATCTCCCTCATGGGGCTGTTGCAGATTATAAAAAAAACAATCCACGCAAAATGCTTAACATGGTCCAGGCTCACAGAAAGAACTCAGTAAATGGTGCCTGTTGTGATTAGCATTATATTATCCTGTTTCACATCAGGCCTGGCTGATAACTCAAGGCCTGGTCCCTGCTCTCCACCATCTCCTAATTGTTGGAAGCAGAAGACACTCCTAGGATAAGGCTGAGACATACAAACCAGTTCAAATGAACTGACTACACAGTCCCACGTTAGTAAGGAAGCATAATGTAAATGGATGGTCTGATGAGTAGGTAATTAAAAATATCAGCTCTCTGGAGGAGGAATTTGGGGCTGATATGTTAAGAAAGAAAGAATTACAGAATCCCTGGTGGGAAGGATGTGTGGAAACTAAGCGTATCTTTTTCTCTTGTAGGATGTCAGAGTCAACCAGAGCAGGTAGGGCCCACTCTCCAGTCCCACCTGCTTTATACTTGACATTGAGACTGAAGGGGGAGGGCACTCACTGACTCACCCAGCCTCCGCAGATGGCTACACAGAAAAGCAAAAGCATACTCAGCGACAGACACACTTTCTCATTCACTCACGCATAGACAGCCCTGATTTACTAAGGTTTGTGTTCTAAAGATTCTTTTTTAAATTGATTGTTTGGTATTGGGGACACAATTTTTCCCTTAAAAGTGAAAGTTATAAATAATAATCATGTTTTTTAGGCTGAACCAGGAATATCTATTTAATTTTTGAAATTATTAGTCCTAGAGTCAGTATTTAACTTCATTTAAAATGTCATTCTAGGGGGGAGGGTAATAGCCCAATGACAGAGCATGTTCTTAGCATGCATGAGGTCCTGGGTTCAATTCCCAGGACCTCCACTTAAAAAAAAACAAAGCCATTCTAAGTAGAAATATTTTGTAGAGAATATGATAAGCACAAAACTTAGGAAGACCAGTATGTTCTTTGAATCATCTTTCCCATTCAACTTTCCCATTTCTTCAGAATTTCAAATGCTACTACTATAAAAGGATAGTCACCAGGAGCTGGGAGGCCTTGCAATTAGGGGCTCCTTTCCTTTCAAACATCAGCAGTCCTCCCCGGGCTGAGCAGAGACATGACTAGGGAAAAGCTGTCATGTAATGGATAGGGCGCTGAACCAGGTGTCCATGAATCAGGAAGTTCTCTAAACATACTTTCAGAGAATGTCAGAGATTTAGATCTAAGTGGGCCTCTGGAGGTCTTCTTCTTGTCCAATGAAGAAGCTGAAGCCTAGAGGGGAAGTGCTTGTTCAAGGTCACACAAAAACTCACAGGCAAGCACTGAGCTGGAACCAGAACTGAGGGCTTTTTCACTGCAGTATATGTTTTCTTTCACCCACTTTTTTCATCTCCCCTAACCTCCAGCCCCTTTCCTTTCGTAATGAACAGCACAGATTAGACTGGTTAAGGCTGTTTTTCAAATGGTACTGTACTGCCCTCTAGAGGTTCATGGGGTAATGATCTCCTCCCTTTTGGTCTCCACATGCCCAAATGTTCTGTGGTTACCATTAGTTCCTTCTAGGTCTAACTGCAATGCCTCTTGCTTTAGCAGCTAAACATTTCCAGCAAAGGTAAAGAGATGATACTCAATCTCATTATTCATCACAGATGTCAAGATTCCTTAGTCTGATTTAACCTCACTCTGTCTGGATGACCCAAACATCATTTTTGAAGTTAAAACCTGACTGGTTCCCAACTTACCTGCAGATGTGAAATGAAAACTTTTGTGAGTCCAGAGGCCATTTCTCCTGACCTTGTCAAAAAGATCCGCGATCTCCACAGGAAAATACTCACCCTCCCAGAGATGATGAGGGCGTTCACAGGTAAGAGGAAAGGAGCAGCAGCTTTCCTCAGTCTCATCAGTTGCCTTTCTGCCTTCCATCCATCTCCATCTTTCCCCACCTTCCAAACCTGGCTGAAGACGTCTTCCATCCCTGAAGCCTTCCTTTAGTGATCCCACTCTGCCCAAAGGGACCATTCCCTAGAGTGTCTCCTCCTTTTCCCAAGGACGGGCACTGCGCTGAGTCCAGGAAGGTGAGGACTGTGTTTCTTTCATAGCAGAAGCTGAGCCTTCTCTTGTCCTCACATTGCTCCCAGGACACAAGGCCTTTCAGGGTACCTGTAAGAAATAAAAAGTCACAGATCTTTCTATTTTTGCTTCCCTCAGAAAACTTGGTGCATCATCTGGAAACAGATTCAGGTAAGCACCTGGGGGTTTGTGAAGCCATTCATCCATTCAATCCAAGGCAGCAAACAGCAATTAAATGTATGAATGCTGGAGCCTGATTGCTTGGGTTCTCTGTTCTCACTTTTGCTAGTTATGAAACATTGGGCAAATCATAAAGCCCCATAGTTTCTTTATCTATAAAACGGAAAATATAATAGTACCCATCCCATAAATAGCTGAAAGTAAATGAATTATTATATGCAAAAAGCTCAGTATAGTACCTGGCACATAATAAGTGTTCAGTTAATGTTAGTGACTTGTATAAACCTAATTACCCCCCCAATTAAAAAAAAGTTAGTTACTTGTATAGATATTATTTATTTATTCAAAAATATTTATCAGGTCCTTGTTTTTTGCCCAGCATTGTGCTAGACTTTTTTCAAATTGAAGTATAGTTGGCTTAAGTGCTAAACTTTTTATTAACTTGGACAAATCTTGTACAATTTTAGAAGACAGCATTTCCTTTTAAATTGGTGCTTAATTTAGAAACTATTTCCAGAAGCATCACCTCATTCTGCTTCTCAAAATTAATGTACAGAAAACTCACCTGGGGGAGGGGGGAGGATCTTGTTAAAATGCAGATTCTGATTTAGTAGGTCTGGGATGAGGCCCAAGATCCTGTATTTCTAACAAGCTCCCAGGCAAAGTGGATGCCACTAGTCCGTGGACTGCACTTTAAGAAGCAAAGCGTTTCAGCACAGCACCACTTGCGGGTCAGACAGAAGAGCTGTCATCCTCCGTTGTGCTGGAACAAAAGGGGAAACTGAGGTTCTGAGAAGCTGAGCCAATGACAGGCTGCACAGGGCTGGTGCGCTTTCTGCCTCCCATACACAGCACACGTGCTCTAGGGGTATACCTGGTGCCTCCAGCTCTGTTAATGTCCATGCCTTCCTCCCTCTAGGGGTCGTCACATTGGACCCTCAGACCGCCAGCCGGAGGCTGGTCCTCTCCGAGGACAGGAAGTCAGTGAGATACACCCGGCAGAAGCAGAACCTGCCAGACAGCCCCCTGCGCTTCGAGGGTCTCCCGGTGGTGCTGGGCTCCCCCGGCTTCTCCTCCGGGCGCCACCGCTGGCAGGTGGAGGTGCAGCTGGGAGCCGGCGGCGGCTGCACGGTGGGCGTGGTCGGGGAGGAGGTGAGGAGGAAGGGGCAGCGGGGCCTGAGCGCCGAGGAGGGCGTCTGGGCCGTGATCCTCTCGCACCAGCAGTGCTGGGCCAGCACCTCCCCGGGCACCGACCTGCCACTGAGCGAGGTCCCGAGCCGCGTGGGCGTCGCCCTGGACTACGAGGCGGGGCGCGTGACGCTGCTCAACGCCGAGACCCGGGCGCCCATCTTCACCTTCACAGCCTCCTTCTCCGGCCAAGTCTTCCCTTTCTTCGCTGTCTGGAAAAAAGGTTCCTGCCTTACGTTGAAAAGCTGAGTTGGAGCGGCCAAAGGGCGGTGTAGCGGAGAAAGCAACCCCTGGGATCCAGCTCCAACCTCCGGGGCAAGTCGTTGTGCCCAAGACGGCAGGAGGACCCGGGATCTCAGGGCCCCTACAGCTCTGTAATTTTTTCACTTTATTTATCTTATGTCTTTCAACTCCCTGACGTTCCTGGTCCCCCCACCCAACCCCCTGCCCCAACCGCTGACGCTCCTGCCTTCTATGCGTGGGGAGTGTAGAACCAGAGGTGGGCGAGGCTGCGCCTAGACCAGCAAAGCTGGGAAGCGGGGTGGGAGTAGAGGGGTTGAGAAAAAAAAATAAAATAAAATAAAAAATTTTTAAGCTTCTAAGGAACTGTCATGGGAAAAACAGAGCTTTATGGATCTTGCCCTAATTTATTCAGTTGACTGTTTTTACTTGGACATATACATGGAGCTGCTTTGGCCTTATGGCTTCTTCATCCAGCCCTGTGGAGTCGCAGGTCCCCTTCCATTCTGACACCTTCAGGTCTTTTTTTCATAGAGAATATCCTAAGAAAGTGTGCGACCCACCCAGGCTCCTGCATTTCATGTGTCTAATCAGTGTTGATGGGGCTGAAGGAAAGGCTTTAAAGTCAGTGGAATCTCTGTGACCAAGACACATCCTGCCCCTTCTTTTACTCAGGACTTGCCTGATGGCAGTTGGGCCAGACCTCATTGTCCAACAAAACGAGGCTTGTGTTCAGTTCTAACTAGCCTCTTAGATATGCATTATTATTACTGCTGTTATTATTGGACACAGAAACAGACCATACATTAAAATAATTTTAAGAAGCTAAGTATGAATTTCTGTGATAATGATGATTTCCACACCACCACCCTTTCTGATTCTTGCTCTCTCTCCTCTCAAGTTTAACACTCACATTCCCATTGTCCCACCCAAACCCCGAAAAGATCTACCTTCATCCTCAATCAGTTCCCTCTAGTATAAATCTGTAAGTTTACCATTTATATCATATGAGCCTTGCTCCCCAAGTGTGGGGTCAGGTGTTTTAAAGACACTGTAAGTGCCTGTGCTATATGTGAATTTCATTACAAGACAGTAATAAGAATCACTGGGATTGTGAATCATTACCCCTAATTTAACTGAGCAAATAGAAGTCCTTGATGTAAAAGAAGCCAGAGTTTGGGGGTTTCTTCTGTCCTCCTGAGTGACAAGCAGAATGCATTGCCTAATATTTATTATAAAAGTGGTATATACTGCTGGTTAAAAAAAGGATTCAAACATTTGCATAGAGTGTAAGTGAAAAGTCCCTCTCTCCACCTCACTTCCTCTTACCACATTCTATAGGTAACCACCAGTATCACAGTTTGTATAACCTGCCAGTTTTGTAGACAAGTACATTTAGCTTTTTTTTTAACCCAAATGAGACTATACCATAAGTACTCCTTGCAATCCACCTCCAGAGAAAAACTATATATAACACATGCCTTGCTGTAACACTTGTCAAACATTACCGAAGTCAAAAGTTATTTTGCAAAAATACACATCTTCTTTTGAACCTTATAACAAACCTGTGAAATACAGAGATCTCATTTTGTTTTTCTCGCTCTGTGGTTGAGAAAACTAGCACACGGTTAAAGGAACTTGTCTAACAGGTTTCACAGCTGGTCTTCATAATCTGCAGGAAGTGGAATCCGCAGATCCCGGTCCTCGTGCCTCAGTCTGGTGACATTTCAACTACGCTCAGACTTTCCGAACAGACGGCTCATGATGGAGCTTTGTTTCATTTCCTCTGCCCTGAACCAGTGTTTTAGACAGGCAGGGCTTTTTTGGGCTTTCTTTGTATGAAATAGAAAAAAATAAATGAACGACCGACACTATTTCCAAGCTTCTGGTGCTTTTCATTTTAGGGTGGTCTGGGAAATGTAGGGCTGTGGATACTCACACGTGGAGGCTCTGGGCCAGAATTAAATTCTTTATTGCCCTGCATAAAGAAAAGAGAATTTAGGAGTCTAAGGAGAAGGTTTAGGGGTAGCCAAGACCCACAGATGAGGACCAGGAGCTGCCTGGAGGGAAAGAGGAGGAAATTAATCCATTCGGTGGCCCGCTGGAGAGTTTGAGGATATCTGTGTTGCGGTGTCTGTGATGTAAAACCATCCTTTATCTCCGCTCGCAGGATTCTTGTGGATTTTTTGGTAGAGAGCCTTTATCAAGCTACCAAGTTAAAGAGTGCTTTTCTGTTTCTAGTTTTCTTAGTTTTTCAAATAATACCTAAGATTTCAGCTTTATCAAATACGATTTTTCATGTTTCAAGATAGTCATTGTGATTTTTCTCTATTTGTCTATGGAGGTGGTGACTGCTTTGTCAGATCTTCTGATGTTACATTATTATTGCCTTTCTGAGACAAACTCTACATGATAAAGTATCATTTCTTAATAGTTCACAGCTGGAATGTTGCATAATTATACATAGGTTATTTAACTTACCTAGGACATTCTCGGCTTTGCTGCCACTGTCTACCTCAGTGCTTCTCAAACTTTAGGGTTTAAAAGTCATCTGAGAGTCTTGTGAAAAGTCACATTCTGACTCAGAAGGAGTAGGGACGAAGCTAAGAGTTTGCATCTCTTAAAAGCTCTAGGGTGACGCTCGAGCAGCTGACCCTGGACCACACTGGAGTAAGGCTCTATCCCACTCCTCTGCATCTCACCCTTCAGGTCCTACTGTAGCTATTCAAACTCCAAACTCCTGAGAAAGGCTTCTGATTGGCTCTATACTGGTTTTTGTGCCAGATTGAAGTCACTAGCTAGTATGTTTGGATGACCCTAGATAAGATAGCCATCTCAGGGCCAATCATTATGGCCAAGGTACAGTTTACAGCCCTTTGGCTTCGTTATAAAAATAGTTTAAACTCTAGCTCTGCTGGAAGCAAGTTTACTTAATGTCTCTGAATCTTTAAGTCATGTGAAAAAGAGATTAAAATACCTATTCTATAGGATTGTTATGATAAATGTATTCACACATGTAATATGTTTCTGGAATCCAATTCCAATGTGGGGCAGCAGTGCGGGTGGGGTTTCCTCACATCACCAACAATTCTCTGGACACCAGCTGGGTGTCCTACAACCCAACTCAATTCTAACACTATCTACCTGGAGATAGCATCAGAGTCCACAGCTTAAGGACTCAGCCCTACAAGACCACCCTCCACCTCAGATGCCAGTCACAAGGCCAGGTTGTTACCTGTACTTCTGCACATGTGACATGTAATGGCCCAACACATAATGGGCCTGGTACACTGCTTGGTATTCAGTAAGCAATTAATGTTGGCCGTGGAGTTGGGGCAAACTCCCTTAGAATAAGATTCTGGATGTGTCTCATTGATAGTGATTGATGTATCAGATGACTTGTCTGCAGAGTCAGAATTATACTGTGTAAACCACTTAAATGTGCACCAAACAGAATCAATTTAGAAGCAAGAAAATCTTTACTTATCCATTCTTTTTCTCATGTGTGATGGAGAAGTCTGTGGTCAAAGTTGAAAACTTGGGGTAAGTCCAGTCCAGCACTAGCAGAATCAGAACCACAGATACTCAGAACCATGGGTGAAGGAAGGAGTGGGGCCAGGGGTGGCCTCTGGTCATGGCCAACTGTCCTGCATCTCTAGGGCTGGATGTCCCCTGAATTCAAAAAGAAGTGCAGTTTCATTGCCTGGGGGTTAGAGTAGGGTATTTTTAAAAATGTATTCTAATCCACAGAACAAAAAAATTAAAGATAAAGAGGACTGCTGTGTAGATTATCTTTAATTTGGAACTATGGGGTTATTACTTACGAATATTATCTTTGTAAATTCTCTCCTTCCTACCCCCATTAGAAAGAAGACACAAGAGCTAATTATCCTCATGATGACAATAAAGCCATTGCCACCAGAATCATTCCCTCACAGCAGTCTCTCTGTCTAGGGACCCCGAGACTGGGGGAGTGGCCCTAAGAACTGTGCAGAAGTAACAGTGAATACAAGTAAGTCTAGGTGCCCAGCCCTGGGGATGTGAAGGCCTCCTGTTCTGGCCTTGGCTCAGCCAATGACTTTGACCTTGGGAAAATCATCCCATTTGCCCAGGGCCTAAAGCGCGATGGAGTGAGTCCCTTCTAATTCTGAGACCTTGTGACTTAATTCCCATCCTCAGGGCGCTGTCCATCTAAGGGAGTGAAGAGTGAGTGCAGCTTCTACCCTCTGAGCATCACCTTGTTTCTCACAGGAATGGGGACCAATGTCAGATATATTCTTCTAGTCTCTTGGGAGAGCAATGACCTCATACCTTTGTGCTCAGTGAAAACCATGGGCTTTAGAAACCAGAAGACCCTGATTCATATCCTGACTCACATCTTACTTGTGTGACTTAAAGAGGTTTACTTAATCCCCCAGAGCTTCTAGACTCCTGGTCTGAACACTGGGAACAAGAAGCCACCTTAGAATTGTTACCAGGGACACGAGACAACACACATGAAAGTGCGGGGCACATTGCCTGCTGCAGTGTAAGCACCAATGATGATGCTGCCGAGGGTAACTGTGACCGAAAATCTTGGAGCTGGGAAGAATCTCAGAGGATAATCGGACCCAGGATTTTATCTTTAGGCAGAATCTAAGGACATCCATTTTACAAATAGGCAACTAAAATATAGAAAATTTATGTAATGAGAAAATTTTATTTCCTCTGATAAATGAGACCTGGGGGAAAAGACCATTTTTTCCCCCAAGATCAAGAGCTATCGGGAGCTATGTGTTCCTTGAAGGCCTCATTCTCTCCTACTAGAGTGTGTGTCGGGATTGCATCACTTTCCTTGTTGTGCTGTCTTTTTGGGCAAATTCACAGAGGCACTGCAGATTAGCTGTGGGAATTTTTGAAATTTTCATCTTGAATGAAGTTTACAGCTGATGAGTATAACTCACCCCGAGCTTCACCATACTGTAAGCTATCATGTTAAAAAGAGTAACATTTCTGCCGTGGCACTGTGAGTTTAGCGGATGGTTAGAACTTTTTCTTTTTTTTCAGTTTCACAAGAAAACAGTTGAGGACACTGACATGCTGACACTGATGAGGAATTTTATTTTCACTCTTTCAATCCCGAGCGGCTGTGAGTTGAGGCCGCAGTGGCTAGAGTGTGACACCTCCTCTGCTCCAGACTCAGGCCTCAGGGAACAGGTTCCACATCCCTGAAAGGCCAGCAGATGAAACCTTAGACCAGTAACAGGCAGGGAGTCACAACTGAGACTGGCATACAGCCCGGTCCCCGTGAGGACTGCACACTCTGAGAAAGGGTAAGTTGGAGGAAAACCACCCAGTGGTGCAGGAGACAGAAGGGGAGCCTTTCCTGGGAACCGTTCTGAGAAACAGAACACCTGGCCTAGTGTATGGTTAGTGTTTTGGTTTGTAGGGTAGGAACCCCCAAGTCAAAAAACAAACATAAAATGGTATCGGACTGGTATTATATCTGGGTTCCCTGCTAGAAGCACTGAGTAGAATGCCCTCAAAAAGCCTTGCTGAAGATGAGCACAAAATAAGTTATTAAAAACACAAAAATGACCCCCTTCCACATCGTTGACAAAAACTGGTGGTGCACAACCCCAAGAACTTCAGCTCTAAAACTGTAATAAGCACTGTAGGTCTACTTGACCATATGTGCAGGTGTAGTTCATAAAAAACAACCTAAAATATGAATATAAAAATAACAGAAAAATATAAAAAAATTCAAAATAATCTGTTGAACAAATCTTGCCGGCAACCTTCTATACTAAGATGGCACTGTAAAATACACATTTTAATTATCTTCAAGGGTCTTGTATGCTGACACTTTATCTTCTACAGTTTATTTTGGGAGCATGACACTTATAAAACTCACTAAAGCAACAATGACTTGGAAGCATTAATATTTTGGCCAAATGGAAATATTGCCTATTTAATAACTATTAGCTTTTTATTAAACAATAATCACCTTTAAAAGTTTCAGAAATCTCCCATCATTGTATAAAAACTCTTTCCAAGAAAGGGCAGAGGGCATTTTGAGAATTATGAAATTATTTCATAAAGACTAGTAGTATATAATTTTAGGGGGCAATTCGTACCAATCAAAAAATTTTAAATTTCAAGAATATGCAAGGAATTATTGTCTCTCAGGATTCCAATGGGAGTTAAGAGACTATAATAATAATGCATGTCATTTCCAATAATCGACACACTTTGCACACATGTATTTAGAAAGAAAAAGTAAAATTTCTAAAAAGAGGAAACATCAATGAGTCCACAAACGAGAGTACAGGGAGGAAATGTGCTCTTTGCCACTAGTATGATCTTGGAGGTACTTTATGTAACCCTCCTTTTTCTACCTTTAAGATGGCAATTTAAAAAAATCAAAAGAGGACAGGAAATGGTCATATAGTTGAATGTACTGGAGACAGAACTGAATCTCTGTAGGTGACATTTCCTTTGGGGCAGTTTATTTTCCCAGGAAGGATTGTGGGTGTGTCGTGCTGGACGTCACCCTTCTCTTGGGAGCCCCACACTCCATAGACACGGGACCTCAGTGCAGGGCCGCCACTGCAGGAGAGGAAGAACAAGACGGAACCTTGGCAATGGCACGGAACCTTGGCAATGGCTGATGAAGTGTCCCATGGAAGGGCTCTTCTTTGGGGACTTCCAGAAATGGCATGCGTGTGGGAAGATGACAGTAAGCAAAGCTGCAGAGTTCTCAAAGACCCAGAAGGGGCCCAGGAGAGAAGCCCTGGCCCACCGCTGCCAGCGGAACCTCTTTGTAGCCACAGACCGCAAAGGTCTGGTAATATCTGAGTTATAGATGAATCGCAGGCTGTTTATTCAACATGTTTTTATTGAGCACCTACTCTGTGCCCAGCACTGCACTAGGTGCTATGGAGAATACAAGAGAAGTATAAGATACAGTATCCGCCCTCAAGGAGCTTATAAAACTAGAGGCAGAAATCAGATGTACATGACTCAGGCAGCATGTGAAATACACAGAGTGCAACTTCAGATGATGTCGAGGTGAAGAGACCACCGAGATCCACAGCGGCTGGGAACAGTCTCTTAGAGCAGGGGGAGGAGTTAAGACTGGCTAAGCTGGGTGCTGGCAGAGTGCTTGGGATGGATGAGGTCGAAGGCTGCGAGGTAATCTGGCTGGAGCAGGAGCTTGTGCCAAACGGCAAGCACTAGCGGAGCCTGGACAGAGACTGGGACGTGGGTTGGGCCCGCGGGCAAAGAAGATATGCTTTGATTCCTCTCTTGACATGAAGATTTGTGGGTTATTGAGGGGGGCGAGCACCTGCTGCCTTCTCCTGGCACAGCCATCTTGCCCTCCCCAGCCCCGTTCCTGGGAAAACGGAACCTGGATGTTGAGTAGGGCCAGTGATGGAAGCTTAGTATCTTGCTGCAAAAACAGATCAGGGCTTCCAAGGCAGGACAGGTTTTGCTTGACTGGATATTTTCTTTGCCCTGGTGTTTTTATATGGACTGACAAGAGCAGGATACCCTGGATTCTTTCAAAAACTCTCCTCCTGAGGACCATCCCCTAGAGGTGATACTGTTACCCCAAAGCCGCATATATCCCGATCCCCACCTCAGCCCTTAGATGCTTTCAGGGAGGCCCTGCTCCCACTTCTGGAAACCCCACAAACTCAGCCCTGGTCTCAGAGAAGCATGGACTCTGGGCCTTACGAGGAGATGCTTTCCATGGGCATTCCAAGCGGCTTCAATGGCCTAGGACGCCTCCGTGGAACTCCACTCAGCTCATTTTCAACATTTTCATGTATGATTGACTCTCAGTTGGGATGGCAGTAGGTGTGTTGAAAGTACCAGGGAAGGCAGGTGGCAGAAGTGGGCTTGGGCAAAGGGAAGATATGGGATTAGAGAAGAGTAAAATGGCCCTCGGTGTAGGAGTCAACTGGTCTTTCCTAAGAGCAGCTGGCATTGGATGCCGCACTGGGCAAGAAAATGCTGCCTTGCCTCTTACTGAACAAGGAGATGGCAGAGCTGGGTCAAAGGCCATGGGCAGGAGGGAGGGAGGAGACCTCAAGGACTTCATGGTCAGAAGTCAGCCTGGGAACCCCTGGAGGCGGGAGAAGAGCTTTAGGGCAGGATGGAGGGAACAGCACGGAGTGAGATCTCAAGGGGGCCACAGCCACAGGGAGGGGAGTGGCAGCAGACAGGGGGGTCCCACCTCTCTCCTGCTCTGGGTGCTCTGGCCAGGCACCTCCTCCCCTGCCACAGAGCACTGGAATTCCAGAGAAGTGAAGCATCTGCAGGTGTGGGGCTGGGAGCAGGAGTCGGGGCTCAGGGTCTCAGCAGGAGGCGTGTTCCGGGCCACTTGAGCCACAGGAAGGGCAGCAGGCGCCGGGTGAAGGTGGCAGTGAAGGTGTAGATGAGTTCTTGTGACTCTGCATTGGTGAAAGTCACGGTGCCCCCTTCGTAATCCAGGGCGATGCCCACTCTCCGGGGCCGCAGCGCCGGGAAGAGCTCAGCCTCGGGGCTGGTGTTGGCCCAGATGCCGGCCGAGGAGAGGCGCAGCGCCCACACGCCGTCCTCTGGCCGCAGGGAGAGGTCGCCCTTCCTCTTCACCGAGTCTCTGGCCACCCCCACCAGGCAGCTTTCCAGAACTTCCTCCTCCTCCTCCTCCTCTTCTTCCTCTTCATCCCCCAACGATTCCTCGTCCTCATCCGTTTCCCAATAGTCGTATCCGTCCCCGTAGTCGGCCTCCTCTTCCTCCTCCTCCTCTTCCCCCTCTTCCTCCTCGTCCCTCTCCTCTTCATCCTCGGACCAGCCCTCCCTCTCCACCTCCACCTCCCAGTAGACCTTGCCCCAGGTGAAGCCCTTACTGCCCAGCACCCCCGGCTCACAGTCAAACTGCTGCGGGTGCAGGTAAGCACTCTGGTACAGGCTGCTGTAGGTCACACATTTCCAGTCCTCCGACAGCTGCAGGTACCCACTGGCCGACTGTGGGTCCAGGGTGACACTCACTGTGGGGACAAAGGAAGAAGTAACAGTGTCATCAGTGGGCCGGGAGGGGACCCCCAGTCTCCATGGTGTCCATGGCAGGACTGCCACACTGCACGATCCAATGGGCTCTCTCCACACCTACGGCCACATGAACAGGCCCCTCGGGTGTGCGGTGCATGACCTGACGGCAGGGCGGAGGCGGAGGTCAGTGGCTGGGCCTGGGGCAGAGAGGCCTCTGGCCTTAGGAAGCCGTCCCAGTTTGCTCTGAATACAGGAGCCACGTGATAGGGCAGGTAAGAAGGAACTCAGTCTCAGGGAAAAGGACTCACCGTGGCAGGACCTCTGAGGACAGAATAACCAAACACGGGGCCGGAAGGGTCAGACTAGCAAGTGGGGGCCTCCAGTGCAGACTGGAGCAGCAGACTGGCCAGAAAATGCAAGGTGGGGGCTTTAGATGTGCAGCTGGTGTAAGAGAGCGGGCTACCTGCAGGCAGCAAGGCTCCCCGTGGGGAGAGTATTGTCTATTTGAGGGAAATCTGGGGATGACCCTTTAGATACTCACCTGTCTTATATTCCAAGTCTCTCAGCAGCCTCCCTGGGGAGAAAAAAAGGACAGTGACCCTCATGCAGTGACCCTCAAGCCCAGCAAACTTATGGGTCCTTTCTCACTTAGACAGTACTAATTTCACAACAAGGCTCCAGCCCTCAGATCCTAAGAAGAGAAAACAACCAGGAGACCTCAGAGGAGTGAGGGCAGAGAATCAGGCAGAAAGGAGCCGGCACCCTCTTCTTGAAGCAGCACCCATGCCCTCCCCAGTCCTCACCTTGGAATTCTCTCAGGCCTCGCTGCAGAGACAGAAGTTTATCTGAGAATTCTCCTGTCCTTTTTTTAACCACTCGAGCAATGGGTTTCCCAATCCAGAACTTCTTCCGTGGATACCTGAGAAGATGACAGACAAACCTGTTACTCAGATCTCCTTACATTACTCTCAACTCTCACACGTGTGGAGGGGGAGGGAAAGGTACGATCGTCCCCAGGTAACAGAAAGACAGGGCCTCAGAGACACTAAGTGAACTGCCCAGGGCTGAGCCAGGACTTACGACCATCAGCAGACTCAACATCCAGGGCGCTTCTGTCTGCCAAGCCACGCCCTACCCTTGCCACCCTGTCCCGTCACAGATACAGATCGTGGACCCAGGAGTTGGAGGTAACAGGGAAGTTGCTCAGGTACAGAGCAAGTCTCCGCCAGTTCTCAAGGATGTGTTCTTGCTTCCCAGGAGGGAAGGTCGTCAGGATGAACCATGGAGTACAGGTCCCTCTGGCCCCATATCACTCCCCATTAACTGAAATGGACCGTGGTCAAGGAACAGGGGCAAGGACACAGGAACAGGGAAATGAGGTGCACTGTGGAGAGGAAACTCTTGTACCTGTTTAAGAAGTCTCTGGTGTCCTGGAAGAGAAGACAGCATAAGCATCAATGTGACTCTAAGAAGACATCATTCATATGCATCAACACTATTAAAGACCAGGGATGCATCACTGAACAAAATAAATGCGGCCCCTCCTTATGGAGCTGACATTCTAGTGGCGGCACTGGATAAAACAACAAGAAAATAAAGTAAATAAACAAAGTAATCATAATGACAGAGGGAGGGCAGGGGATGACAGCCAACTTCTCTGAGAGGATGACACTTGCACTGAGATTTGAAGAAGGTGCTGGCCAGGTGAAGAATGGGAAGCAAGCAAGGTGGGAAGGGGCTTGGGAGAGGAGGCCAAATCATGCAGGACTGGACAGGCAGAGCAAGGAGTTCAAGTTCCATTCCACATTCAGTAGGAAGCCACCAAAGGGTTTCAAGTAGGGGAGTGCTATATGTGATCTGCTTTCCACACGGCTCAGACTCCTAAGTGTCCTCCAGGACCCATTTCCCCCTTCTTCCTTGTAATAACAGAACCCACGGAGTAATAGCTGGGCACAGGGCCACCCAGCAAGACTACATTTCCCAGATTTCCTTGTAACCAGGCCTGGTCATGTGACTAAGCTCCAGCCAACACTATGTGAAAGGAAGCAATGACTATAATTTTGGGGTCATGTCCTTTAAAAATAGAAATCCCATTCTACTTCCCTTTTTTCCTTGGCTCTATTTTGGATACAGTGGTGGTGAGCCCAACATTTGACTACGCAGCTCAGGACAACATCCCTTGAGGTGAGTGAAACTACCAGATGGAAGTAACCGGCTCTCTGGGTGACCGCATGGCAGCTGCCCTGACAGCTCTAGACTCCTCACGTCTGAATATTGTTTCCGGGAGAGAAATAACTTGCTTGATTCAGCAGCTGGCCAAATCCCAAGTGATCAATCAGATCAGAATGGGTTAAGGGAGGCAAGGCAGAGGGGACAGCAGGGGGTCAGTGTGGAGGCTGTTTTGTGGACCAGGTGAGAGCTAATGAAGCCTGAACTCACAGGAAGTCAGGGAAGCTGCACATTCCAGGCGTGTCTGAGACCCTGGGCACACTGGTGAAGGATAATCAAGGACAGGCAGTGACTTGAGCAGGAGGGAGGATGGTGTCATATAAGTGAAAGGACATGGCGAGGGGGTTCTTGTGAGATGCTGGTTGTTTCTCTTTTATGAGTCTAAAGCCTCCATAATATTCTGTTAATTTTTGCCTTCCTTTCACTCACTCCGTGAATGTTAATTAAGTGCTTCCTGTGTCTGGCACCACTCTAGAAGCCTGGGATAGGGCAGGGAAGAAAAAGAGACACAAATGCCTAGTAGGGGGAAGCAGAGAGCAACAATCAACACGACAAATCCATTACACTATGCTGTGATGGGGTGAGTGCTATAGGAAGGGGAGGAGCATGAAGGGGGACCAGGTGAGGGTGGGCGCAGCCTGGCCTCTTTGAGAGAGCGAGATTTGGGAAACAAATGGAACATCACCCAACTGTGGCTGCTGTGGACTGTTCCAGCAAGCCTCAGGAAGAACTTGGGGCTTTGCTCCAGGGGAGGCCATACAAGAGGTCAGAACTCCACCCACCCCAACCACGAAGCAACTGCCCAGGGACTGGCTGTGAGTTGCTGGCAAATCCGTCTAATCTGTCCGTCACAAGAAGGAAGTCCAAGCCGGCTTCAGAGGTCAGGGTGACAAATCTTGAGACAGGGTATGCCAACAACTCTGCCGAGATTCGTGGTATCAAAGGGCAAATAAAAGGGCAGTGGGAAGGTGGGGTCAGGGAGCCAAGGGGACATATTTGGTGACACAGGAGTTGCTAGAACAGAGAATGAAGCCCGTCTAAGGGTTAAAGGTTGTGAGGACCCGGAGCACCAGTGCAGGAACCCTTCTCCCAAAGGACACAGAAGGGGAGACTGGGGTGACCTGCAGCCTCACACAGGGCCTCCAGAGGGAAGCAACCTGCCCAAGGCTCCTGGACGGCCTCTCTCCCCCAGACGCCTGGGGCTGTCATGAAACAGGCCATCAGAGCAGAGGGGCTGGGGCAGGCGTCACGGCCACGCTGGGCATTAACAAAGAGTGCTCCCGAAGGCTGTTCACGGGTGTGGACGGCGACCAACAGCGGGAGAGGCAGACGTGTGACCTGCTACCATGCCCTGCAAGGCCATGCAGTGCTGAAGCAGGGGGGCTCCAGTGCCTCTCTGGCCTCTCTTATCCCCTAGTTCCCTTTAATGTCTTGATATTCCCGGTCCAGAGACCTTTCTTTCTTTTTCTATCATTGTTGTCAAAGGGCCTCTGTTTTTCATCTTTTGTCCCATTGCCTTTCCCTCTCACCTGTATTTCTCTACCACTTTTGGATCAGGGCCCCTGTCTTAATAGGGCCTGATTCTTACTGTCCATTGACAGTCAAATAATCTCTGGGGAAGTACTAGTGACAATTCAGGAGTTAGCTGTCCAGTTCCCCTGCCGCAAAAGCAAACGCAAACAAAACACAGATAAAACCCCCCAGCACCAAGACTTCTTGTCCTGGCTTTCGGCAGACACCCACTTCTTCTCCCTCACTCCTCCCACCCGGCCCCAGGGATGTCTTCAGTCTGAGTGGTCTTGGAGGCTCTTCTGGGTGGACTGGGGAGAAGCTCCCCTCTGGGCAGACGCAACGGGATCTCAGCCCCCCCAGCACCCCAGCTGCGTCCCTCTCTCTGTTCCAACAAGTGCACAACCACACGGTGGCGGCGGCTGCACGGAAAGGAAACCGGCAGCTGTGGGGAAAGGAAGGATGCACATCCCTGAAGGAGAAGGTGGGGGAGGGGGAACGGCAGCAAGTGACCCAGTCAGAGTTCAAGAAAGAAATTCAAGGGAACAGAATGGCATCTGGAGGAAAGGAAGGAGCCAGAGACATTTGGACAAAGTGAGAGAAAAGAACAGAAGTCCAGAGGCCCAGGACAAACGCTTCCACTCTCTGGCCCTCAGTGACTTCATCGGGGGTGCTGGCCTGAAGAGCTCTATGTCCCCGCCAGTTCCGATGCATGAGTCGGAATCCACAAGGGTGGAGAGGCAGGCAGAGGCTACCTGTCCCGGCACAGGTACCTGGAGGGCTCGCCTGACCATGTCTCCCCAGCGTCCCACTACAGACTGGCCCTGCCACTGGCCAGAGACAGCATTTTCCTAGGGGAGATCCTAGGTAGCTCCACTGCCGACAGGCCCAACCACCCCCAACCACGCAAGTGAAAGAGATTATTACGTAGGCCTTCTCCTGGCCCATGGGAGCAGAAAGATCGAGCATGCTCCCTCCAAAGGCTGCTGAGCCCCATTCAACGCAGTGTGACTCCTCTGGGAGGCTCCGGTGGAAGGAGTTGTGGTGTCACTTCAACTTGGCAACCTGTTCTCCAGTCCATGACTCCCCCTTTCGCAGCATCAAAGCCACCTCCTCCAGGAAGTGCTCCAGAGGCACCCTGCCTGCTCTCTACCTTTTTCTCTTGAGGGTAATTTCACAGTCCCAGAGAAAACCACGGCTGCCTCTGTCTTCCTTCACCAGCTGCCCATCCCCTCCAGACCCTCTGGGTCCTTGAGAGAAGCCGCCATTCAGCCTTCCCTCAGCCACCCCAACCCTATAGGCTTCTTCACCTCCAGAACCATCAAGAGCTTCCCCTGGCCCAGTGTCTGCCAGTGACTTGTTAGAAGACAGGCTCGTGATGGCAGTGATGAGGGTGGAGGATAGTAACGAATGTATTAGTAATCTTCCCTTCCATTGCTACAGCACTTTTTAATATTTTAAACTTTTTTTGGTGGAAAATTCACTTTTTGAAGTGACACCATGCCAATTATCTCATCTTATGCTCATGCAACCACTGGACTAAGTGGCGGGAATAAGGATTATCATCTCCATGCTTCAGATGAGAAAACTGAGGCCCCGAGAGGAAGTGCCTCTCCAAGGTCCTGTAAGTGAGGAGCAGGGCCGTAGGTCTTGGCCCTGCTCTCCGGGCTCCCTGCCCCCGGGAAGGTCTCTCACCTGCATGAGCTCTGCAGCCGGCTGCTGTGCCTTGCCCTCCAGCTCGGAGATGACCAGCGCCAGCCGGGCCAGCTCCCCGACGCCCCTGGTCTTGTACTTCTCCCTGCCCTCTGTGAGCTCCTGCTCCAGCTTCGCCAGCTGGTCCAGCAGGTGCTGCTCCCGCTCCCTCAGGAACTGGTGGCCCTGCTCAAACTCAGCCACGATGCACTGCCTCTGGTCCTGGAGCTTCTTCTGCAGGGGTGGGAAGGGGGAGAAGGGGTGACGCCTCCACCCCGGGGTGGACTATCCCTCCAGGATCTGGTGCACAGGCTGGCTCTTGGCTCCGAGCTACCTCCGTTCATGAATTCTACACTGTTTGGGCTGGAAGGGGCTTTAGAGCACTCCTGGGCCGACCTTCTTTCCTCAAAGACACAGTAAGTCCATCAGTTCAGTTCCCTCAGACACCACGGGACTGGACCCCTGACTCCACCTGCCACTGATCTGTTCTAGGTAAACCAGTATGTTCTGGGGCCTTCTGAGGAACATTGCAAGCCAACACACTTTTCCCTCCTGGATACCAACTGCTGTGAGTTGCCTCTTCCAGGAAGTTTCCCTTGATAAACTTCATCTGAGCCTGACCAATCCTCTCTTCAGCATCCCTCCTCCATTATGTATAAAGTTCTGTGTGTGCGCCCCATCCCTAACATGTAAGACTCTATCCTGTTTCCTCAGTGAAACTGGAATGTCTGTGCTCAGGGACCATGTCCTTTACTGCCTCCGAGTTTCCCTGCCGCGTCCAGCCAGGGATCTGGTCAGCGTCCTCGGTTCTCTCACTGACTAATTAATATTGGGCTGGAGGCGTCCTTGCACAATGAGGGCCTAGAGGTACTCCCTGGTCCTGGGCCACCTCCCGCTTCACTCTGTCTCTCTCCCAGTGCCTAACAGGTCACTGCTGGGACTGGCCCCAACATCCCTCCATAGTGCCTACTTCCCCAACTGACTCTCCCCCAGAAAATTGGAATCCTCTTATCAGATTTCCCCCTCTGATCCCATCTCTAATCAAGCACACACATGCTGCCTCTGTTTTCTAACTACTGGCGACCACAGGCACAGGACTCACTAGACACAGTGTCCTCAGAGCTGGTCAGGCCTGGCCCAGCCTACCTCTCTCAGTTCTTACCCTGGAGCCAGCTCCGACCTTCCAAACCCTTGGCTCCCCTGCGCTCTCAGGAATAGGTCTTTCTCCCTCTCTTTGAAGGAAGAACCAGGCTGGGCCTTACTTGGTTCCCTGCACTCTGGCTCTGCCAAGCAGACACGGCCTGCAGCAGAGTCACAGAAGGAGAAGGACCTTAGCTGGCATCCAGGCAACCCACTCACTCGTGAGACGAGGAAGTGGGCCCAGAGCACAGAGCCCAGACTGGCAGGGCTTGAGCCAAAGCCCAGGCCCCCCGGCTGCCAGTCCAGTCAGGGCTCCGTCTCCCAGGGAGCCGGGCGCCCCGCAGCCGGGCCTTGGGAGCTCCTGCTCCTCTCGGCCTCAGGGCTTTCCCTCTACGGCCTCACTTACCAGCGCAGCCAGGATATCAGCTTCTCCCTTGGCCTGAAAGCCCTGAATTTTGTCTCTGTCTCGCCTTAGGGTACTCAGGTGGTTCAGGATTTTTTCCTGTAGAAAGACAAGCAGTGGGGACAGGTGGACGCTCTGGCCTGAGGCAGGAGGGAGGACTCGGCCGGTCCTCGGAAGCAAGAAGCCTTCAAAGGGGTCTGAGCCGGGCCTGGCCTCTGGGTGGATGCCGAGCAGAGCATCCCGCCCTGCGGGGGTGAGGAGGGCTTACCCTGTGGGGCTGGGCGGCCTTCTCCACCAGGACGGCCGAGTGGGGCCTGTGCTCCCGGGACTCCCGGCACAGGACGCACAGCAGCTGCCCGTCGTCCTCGCAGTAGTAGTGCAGCTTCTCCCGGTGCCGCGCGCACAGACGCGGGTCCGGCTGCTCCTGGGCCGCCTCCCCTGGCTGCCTGCCCTTGTCCACTTTCAGCCGCTCAATGTTCTCCACCAGGCTGGCCAGCTGCCATACGGGCCTGATGTTCTCCTTCTTAAAAGGCTTCTTGCAGAGGGGGCAGACGGGGCGGCCCCCTGAGACAGGGCGGATGTCGGTGGTACAGCTGCGGCAGAAGACGTGGCCACAGTCAATGGTCACCGGGTCCCGCAGGTAATCGAGGCAGATGGAGCAGGTTACCTCCTCTTCCAGGCTCCGCAGTGGTGCTGACGTGGCCATGGTGTCCTTAGCTCAGAGGGGTCCCTGTTCGCTGGTGGGACTTCTCCTTGGAGACCAGACATGGAGTCAAGAGCAGGCACAGCAGGGGAGCAGCAGTGGCAGCCTCGTACAGGGCTGCCAGCTCCAGTGACCAATCTGTCACTCGACAGACGCTGAGCAGCTCCTACAAGGCTCACACAAAATCAGAGCGAGAGGACCTTACCGATCCTCAAGTCCAACCGCTCATTTTACAGATGAGGAAACTGAGGCCCAGAGAAGGGAAAGCAGGGCTGCCACCAACCCAAGCTGTGCTGTTGGAAAAGCACTCCTACCTCAAGACCCTTTCCTTCCATCTGTTGGGAAATTGCTCTAATGTACCAATTATGACAAAATAAGACACTAGATAACTAGCTGGAAAATCGACATAATATACAAATCTGCAATGTCTGTTACATACACAGCGATGCCTTACTTGTGCAGTGCACAAGCTGCTCAACTCTTCATGGGGGGCCCTGACAGAGTTAAAAGATTCCTTTGTTTGCCCTCCAGATTTCGGGGTCTAAGAGCTAAGCGCACTGAGGTTCTTTATCAAGACTCAAGAAGCATCAAGAGCCTGACTTCCAGTGTCCTCCTTTATAGATGTTTCCCCGGGCTGTGCTGAAGTTTTTGACTTGGTTCACTTTCCCGGGAACGCTGGTCTCTACCTAGACCCAGCCTGCCGGCAGAGCATGGCCTGGCCACACTGGACTCATTCTCAGCTGTGACTCCCCCGTGTAGCTGGCTTGGCTACTGTGCTGCCAATAAGGGCGACTGAAACTAATGTGGGAGGAATCCTCAGGTAGTTTGTGACTGTGATGTGCTGATGAGGGCTTAGCCCTCACAGGGAGCCCAGAAGCTGAGCACAGAGAGGACTTTAGTCCTGTTTACCTTTGCAGCCCTGGCCCACTTCCTGTTTGAGGTTCGGGAGCCGCAGCACACCCAACCCAACTGCTGCCTCCTGTCTCCAACTCTGTGTGACAAGAGAGAACCCATTTAAGTACTCTGAGCCTCAGTTCATCCATCCATAAAATGGGGAGAGTGATACTTACCTTCAAGGGTTTTTAAGTGGGTTGAGTAAAGGAATCATGTTGAAAGGACTAAGCATAAGCACGGTACAGAGGAGAATCTAAGAGAACCCAGAACCCTTGGCTCCCAAATCTACTCAGAGCACAAGTAGAGCAAGAGCAGAAATTTAAAGCGGCAGCAAGAGAGGAAGTGAGGGTGCACCGCCATAGTGACACACGTGCTCCCGATTTAAAGCAAACGCGGGCCTCGTGGGGCAGGGGCTGGGGCATCTGCTCTGCCACAGACCCACAGAAAGCAACTCGTGGGAAGACAGCCGGCAGCCAGGGCGCGCAGGTAACTGCGAGGCTGGAATGAAGCCCTTGGAACCCCAGGCAAATCAATATGATTACTGATCATGTACATGAAAGTCCATTACAACCGAGTTCACTGGCCATCGAGTTCTTTCACTGCAGTGACATGAATGAGCTAGAAATAAAGCCCCAAAGAGAAAACAACACAGGAATACAAAGTCTACTTCTTGAGGCTCTAACGCAGCACTGTTAAAGTGCTTTATAGAGTAAAAGTTCTGTACAAATGTAAGGGCTTCATGGCTGACGGAAGCTCTGATGGATTTGGAGATCAGCGACTTTAAGAGATGTAATGAGTGTAGAGAAGACATGTACCCACAAAGCTCAAATGAAAGAATTAAGGAATTTAACTGGCAAATGAAGGTAATAAAGTTTTTAGAATGTTAGTACTACTAGTAAAATCCTAGGAAATGCCAGGTCCGACTCCTTGGTTTCACTGCTGAAAAAGTAAGTCTGACCCAGCACTTTCAGGTGACACAGCCTGACACAGGGTTGGGACAGAGGAAAGGGCCACAGTGCTGGTGATTCCTGTGGGCGTTGGAGTCCTTCACCAGCTCCGTTTGCTGAGGGGCTTGGAAGTTCAAAAACTTATTTGTTTCTTTTGTTGTTGTAGGGGGACAGCATGTGTTATCTTTGGGGCTGGGAATTTAATTCTGTTGCAAGTTATTGGAAGAATAAAAAGGACTATCAAGAGCTCAGCTACAGCTCTCTGTCCATACAAAACCTGACACAGTCAGGTGCCCTCATCACTTACAGCAGGTGATCTTCACCCAGCCTCCATGCTGGGCTTTGATGAACTTCTAAACCCCCGACACTACATGAAAATGATCGGGCTCAGGGGTTATAGCTCAGTGGCACAGCACGTGCTTAGCATGCATGAGGTCTTGGGTTCAATCCCCAGTAACGCCATTAAAAAAAAAAAAAAGACTGCATACGTACTAGATGAACAAACCTGTCTAGGGATTATAGAAGAACACTGGTAAATAAGTGTTGGACGGATAATAGAATTAGAAAAACACCATCTTGCAGTTCCCATTATAATAAGATCATCAGCAGATGCTAAAACCGTGAGGTGAAAGGTACTAGGCGACAGGACTGTCCCATAGTGCCAAAGTACCACCCAGTAGGTTACTCCCTAATGTACATTGATAAGGGAGAGACCTGGAGGTGGCCTTAGTCAGGAACCAAATCCAGCATCGCTAATAGAGGGACAAACTGGCATACGTTCCCCAACGTGGCACCATGTGAATTGCACGTTACCCTTGAAGTAGTCCTGCCAAAAATGTTTGACGTGGATGAATCTAATCAAGTCTTTCATCCTAACTTCCAGTTTATAGAAAATATGAGGGACAGAGGAATGAGCGAAACTACACCATGAGGAAACAATCACATAAATTCAGAATAAGCAAATGTCATAAGAAATAAAACAGGGTTATTCTTGATTTTAAAAGACTAAGGAGAAATAACAACCAAATGCAAATACCTTGATTGGATCCTGGTTTTAAAAAAACTATAAAAACAGTTCGGGGACAATTAGAGGAAATTTGACAAAAGACTGGGTATTGGATCATATTAAGAAATGGTTATTGACTTTTAAGGGCATTTATTGAAGTTAGGTCTGAGAATATCCGTATTTTTAGGCAATGCATGCTGTAATATTTAGGACTATAAGACCACAACTTAACTTTTCAATGGTTCAATAAAATAAAATAAAAAGTTTTCTCAGGAGAGGGGCTAGAGTTTTCCATCCTTCTTAAAAGAATCCATACAAGGGCCTGTAACTACCAAAGATGTTGAAAATCACTTGACACTTGCAGAAGCTCAATACAGAGGCACTGAACAAATGAATGGATTCAGAGGGAGTGAAGGCAACACTAACTGTATGTGCACTTGTTTGAGAGTCTGCCTGAACGAGACAAACAAAACATACACAGTCCATTTCTATGTTCAGTCCCATTACTTGGTTATATAGGCTCCACCTTGAACACAGAACACATATTGAAGACGGCTTACTATAGCATTGCTGAATACATGCAAGAACTGAGGTGCAAATCTGTGGGTTGAATTCAGGGTCAAGTTTGGGCTCTAACCCCACACCCAGGTGACTGATGACTTCTTAGCAGCAGCACTTACATGGGACCCACCTTATCTGCCACTTACACATCCTATGTCATTTAATGATCAGGATACTCTTCGGAGGATACTGAGGCTCAGGGATAAGCACCTTCCCAAGAGCGCACAGCAGTGCCTGGTGCTGACGCCTCAGCCCAACCCACGCCACTCTCTTCTCTGCCCAGGCAAACTGGAAAGCGGGTCAAATACCAGCCCCTTTGTCAGGAAGCTCCGATGAGGTCATCCCAATAGAAGGGCTTTGTCAGCTGAAGAGTGCTGACGGAAGTAAAGGGGCATGTAGCACTGCTGACACTGACCAAAAGCACCCTGGCCTTAGATACGACAGAAAGCGGGGTTCGAGGATGAAACGGACCTGAACAACTGCTCCCCACCCCACATCCAACCCTTTTGAGCCAACACAAAACTGACCCTCTCCCTAAACCCCTCCCCAGCTGACCAAGCTCCCCCAAGATTCTGCCCTTTCTGCTTTTGTGCCTTCAGCATATTCTGATTATCTCAACAGGTTTGGGGGAAAATAAGGGGTAAAATTCTCATTATCATCTCCATTCCTGGCTATTGGGTGGACAGAAACCACAGAAAGCCAGAGCCAGAAAAAAACCTTAGAGACGATGTGGTCCACCCTACGCCCTTTACCCAAATGAGAATCCCAAGGAAGTCATTTCAGGAGTTACCTTGTACCAGAGGCCACACACCCCTGCTCTAGGATGGACGGGTCTTCTGTCCCTTCAATAACCCAGAAGCTGGTTGCATTTCCCCAGAACCAGGCAGAACTGGAGACACTCCCAACCTTCCAGAGTTCCCCTTGCCCCACGATTCACCTGTCCCCGACTACTCTCCGGGTGTTGTAAATACCTGCTCTGCGTATGTCAACAGGCTGGCGGAGGTGACACCACATATTTCTGGCAGCACAGTCAGGATGTGGATGTCATGCGCAATTCTTTGCTGTGAGAACCACTGCGAGCTGCAAAAACTAGCTGAGGGAAGCATCACCGGGAATGCCACACTTGGTAAGGGACAGACCCCTCCAGCCCCTGCAGTGCACTCTGGCCTCCAGGCTGCTTCTCAAGTCCACATGTGAGGCTCCAAACAAGGAGCCCTTCTTCCGTGTGATCCCAAAGCACAGCCTCGGGCTCCATGCCCCATGGGAACCCCTTAGGGTTCAAAGGGCTCTTGGGGCTCCAGATTAATCCTCACTTCTTAGGCTGAAACAAGCAAATACTCCTAGAAATGAACTTCTGTGAGACACCGCTAACAAAGCCAGAGAGTACAGAATTCAGGGCGAAAAGCGAGTGATCTGGATCTAGATACCAGGAGTGCCCGTGCCCCTGCTGATGACACCAAAGGCCTTGACTCCCCAGATTTTCAAGCCTAGTTGTGGGTGTGGGCTGGTCACCAGGCCATCTCAGGAGATAGTGGACAGTGCATTCTTGAGGTCACACGTAGGTTACTTTTCCCCCATAGGGCCGAACATCAGCGGTGCTCTGAAGCACCATGCAGGCCACGCAGAGACAAGCTCTGCATAGTCAGGGTGATGGTGGCAGCAGCCACTGGGAGGTGATGGGACAAGGCTTTAAAGTGCCTCTGAGGCTTTTAAGGAGAAGGCTGTCATCATTCATTCAATAGCTGATGATACTTTTGT